TTGACAACAGTGCCACAATATAGTTTCTTTTCTCTGTTTTTCCTTTTTTTTTCTTCTCAACATTTTCTTTTTTTCACGACTCAAAAATTCTTCCGGAATTTGGAAAAACTCAAAATTATTCTAGTACGTTTTGAACAAATACCTTGGAGTATATTTACCCCCCCCCCCCCCCGACAATTGGAAAAATGATAAAATATTTTTGTTCTTTCTCTGGTATTTTATTGATATATTTTTTTTCTTAATTTTTTTAGGTAACTTATAGTTTGCCCCCAGCAGCAGCAGTGTGTCTTTCTTACATCGTTCCTGTTTACTCTATAGCTGGACTGGACACGGACGCAAGAGTGAACTCCTTTGGTGTATATATTGCGTATAATTTGCTTTATTTACTGACCATACGCATGCTCTTTATGGCTCTGGGATGGATGTTCTCGTCGCGCCATCTAGCGGCGGGCCTGGCTGGCATTATCCTAACTTTGTGCGCAACTACTGCCGGATACACGGTGCATTTTACCGACTTATCACTGGTGCTGTCCTGGTTCCAGTGGGTATCGCCCATGCGCTGGATGATGGAACAGATCGTCAGATGGGAGTTCACTGGAAAGAATAATGAGATAGGAAACATTACGAAATACTACTGCACTCGTAATCCTGTTATCCAACAGGAAAACGGCATTTTGGTGAAAGCAGACTGTGGGATACTGAGTGACGCTCACGCACTGCGCTTACACCAATATCGCACAACATGGCCGCTTTACCAGCCAATCATCGTAACTCTAGCCTTTCATCTAGCCTGGTTTCTGATTGGATTGTTTGCATTTTTTGTCTTTAACCAACAGCCAAAACAACCCCGCAAGCGAACGGCCAACTAACGTCAACCAAACCATGTTTAACTTAATTTTAGGTGTCAATGTTCTTGTTGGATGTAACGAGGTGCTGTCTCTTAGTCGTACCTTCCACTGTTTTGTGTTAAAAGATTTTACTGTCAAAATTAAGTCATAATCTTGTAGTGTTCTTATAAAATATAACAGGAATACTTATGGAAGAGCAAAAAAAACACTATCACCTTTAGACACAAAGAATCAACGACAAGCAGAAACCAGGACACTATTAACGGTGTTTATCAGATATCAAGATGACACCTATTCTAGTGTTAAAATATAATATTTACAACGTATTCAGTGGAATGTTGTTTTAAATTAAAGACAACCTAAAAGGTAATTATGACTTAATCGGTAACTTTAGTGTCTTTTATCGGTATGTTTGACGTAATTGACAGTTATTGGTATTGGTGTACTGGGACTTAATGCGTAACCGAAGTGTCTAGAAGTGGTACGTTTGATCTAATTGACAGTTATTGGTATTGGTGTACCGGGACTTAATGGGTAACTGAAGTGTCTAGTAGTGGTATGTTTGATCTAACGGACAGTTAATGGTATTAGTGTACTGTGATTTAATGGGTAACTGAAGTGTCTAGTAGTGGTATGTTTGATCTAATAGACAGTTAATGGCATTAGTGTGCTGTGATTTAATGGGTAACTGAAGTGTCTAGTAGTGGTATGTTTGATCTAATGGACAGTTAATGGTATTAGTGTACTGTGATTTAATGGGTAACTGAAGTGTCTAGTAGTGGTATGTTTGATCTAATGGACAGTTAATAGTATTAGTGTACTGTGATTTAATGGGTAACTGAAGTGTCTAGTAGTGGTATGTTTGATCTCATGGACAGTTATTGGTATTAGTGTACTGTGATTTAATGGGTAACTGAAGTGTCTAGTAGTGGTGTGTTTGATCTA